AAGGAGACCTTGTACTCTCACCACAGAGTAAACAAATGGTGGTTTACATTTGTAGTTTTTCTGGATTGGGAGCTTTCTTGTTTGCTTTGATGCAGGATCGCTTGGAGGCCTAAAATGTCATGTTTGCTTTTTAGTTAACAGCATTAGCCTAATCTTTGGATACATTTTAGCCTGAGATGTAAAATAAAATTCTGTATTTACAGACACACTGGCACACACAAAGACAACTCATGACATGCATGACTAAGCTCCATGACGTAAGCTTCCCAAAGCCACTGTTCAGTCAGAAATGCTGAAGCTGAAAGCAAAAGAGGATGGTAATCATGTGTTGAGGTGGGATAGACCTTTGTTCTAGAGTCCTGAAAACTCTATTTTGTTTTAGCACTGTGAGCCACAGATTGGACAATAACAGGAAGGGATTTTTTTGGAGGGCTGTAAACAGCATCACCAGTTTGTCCTGCGTCAGGAGAAAAGTTCTCCCGTCATTGTTTTAAGCACAGGAAGTGCTTCACAGGAGAGCTATGTAACCCACGCAGGATGTTCCTGCACCATGTGTTCATGCACTAGTTGGATTTCTTTCTTTCTCTGTAATCTGCATATCAAATATACTTGCTGTTAATTAATATGCTGCTTTTTTTGCACAAGATTTTCAAGTCATTTATTTTGTCAGATGGGCTTTGTTTGTGAGGCTTTGTGCAATAGCACAACACTAATAGGACTGCACAGTATGTGGAAAATCTGTAAGCTTAGGTGCAGGGAGGTAGTGAGAGCTCTCTAATCTCCCTGTAGGCAATTTGAAGCAAACAAACAGTCCTGTATAATATCCATCCATCCATGCATCCATTCAATCATTCATCCTAACCAGGCCAACCGTTCATGCTCACATTCAAACCTGTGGCCAGTACAGAGTAACTGGTTAGGAGTAATTTAACTTGCACGTCTTTTGACTTTGTGTGGGCAGCTGGGATATCTGAAGAGAACCCACGCGGGGTGGAAGAAGCGGCAGGTTTAGATGCTACTTTGTTTCTGTTGTGTTAGAGCTATTGAAGAGGGGAAAAGCATCTTAAAACAACTGTGCCTAAATCATTTGATGACC